AGAGTTGTTGCTATTCTTCTCTTCGATCTCCTGTTGAGTTCGTAGGTGTTCAGAATGGTTTGGTCCCTATTCAGCTGAATTCCTGAGACCAGACGAAACCCAGGTCTCCTTCTCCTCCGCCATCTTGCTCCCCATTTTTGCTCTTCTTTATATATCTCCCATTTCTTTGCTGAGATTTTCTATTTATTTTTAGATGTATCTGAAGCATGTCTGTGTGATGGCTCCTCACAGCATTTCCATTACATTGGCCTTTGAGTCCTTGTCAGGAAACAGCACCTGCATCATCTGAGAGTTAGCATCTTTCTCACTCCACAGATTTTCCTGGTTCTCGTTATGATGAGTGATTTTTTTTATGGAACCTGGTCAGTTGGACATGATGTTTGGAGGGTCTGGATCTTATTTAAATCTTCTGTTGCAGAAGCTTTTTCTGGCACATTGCTGGGGTGCTGACTTACTACTGCCCGGTGGAAGGCATACAGTCCAGATGCCCCACGTGCCCTCCTGTGACACGTGCTGTGTCATTCCTGGGGTGTTCATGGTCTTAGCCCGGCAGCTGCCTTCGGTCCACTTTTTGGAGTACTCTTATGTTTCTTGTTTGTAGTGTGGGAGTTTCAGCTGTGATTTATGGGGGTCCATAGGGAAAACATACATCCACTTCCTCTTGGCCCCAAACTCGACCTCTGAAATGCAATTGATTTTTGTATATTGATGATGTTTCCAGTGACATGGCATAAACCCTTTTCAGATTAGAGTAATAGGTCTTTACATTATTTGGGATAGTCCATGCGTACAATTTTGTGATCCATGAAATATCGATACCATTTTATTTACTTGTTTGTTTATTTATTCAGTTTCAAAAAAGAAAGAAAACTTTATTATTATGGAAACCTAGTAGAAGAGAAAAGGAATCTACACATAGGTGTAGGTAATAGTAGGCAACAAATGAGAATTCGACAAAGTAACATCAAATCGGGCACTTACAACATCCAACCTCATCAGCTGGGGGTGTCCCGGTGGAAATAAACAGGCTGGAATCCCTATTTTATCCATTCAGGGCTTATCACTTTTTTTCCCCTTTATTTAATTGGTTGGTTCTTCTTGTCAAGTTTTCATGTCAATTTTTGTTTTTCTGGACTGATAAAATGTGCTAGGGAAGTATTCCTTCTTTCTCTATTCTCAGGGGAAGCCTGTGTAAGTTTGGTATGTGTGTGTGCATGTGTGTGTTCATGTGTGTGCTCACATGTTCACGTGTGTAGGCATGACCACAGGTCTGCATGTGTTCACATGTTCGTGTGTGCATGTGTGTCCACATGTTCATGTGTGCCCATGTGTGTCCATGTGCATGCGTGTTCACATGCATGTGTCTGTATTTCTTATGTGTTCACGTGTTCGTGTGCATGCATGTGTGTCAGTGTGTGCTCGCATGTTCATGTGTGTAGGAGTATCTGTGTGTTCATGTGTTTGTGTGTATGTAGGTGTGTCCATTGTCCGTGTGTGTGTGTATTTCACAATGCATCAGTATTTGGAGGCATTCACCAGTGAAACTTTCCAGATTCAGTTCACTCTGTGGGAAAAACTTTAATTGCATATTCACCATATATTACACACACAGCAATTCAGATTTTCTATTTATCCCTATGTCCGTCATTTTGGTAACCTGTATTTTTGAGGACTTTGTCTTGTTTTATCTACATTTTCTAATATTTTGGCATAAAATTGTTCATAATATAATAATAACTAATACAAGTGAACATAATAAACTCTGTTATTGATTTAAAGTCTGTAGGATGTGATGCTGTCCTGAATGGTGATGTGATGGGATGTGTGCCTTCTCTCTCTCTCTCTCTCTCTCTGTTCCTTGGCCATTGTGGCTAGGATTTATACATGTGATTAATATTTACAAAAATGAACATTTTGGGCTTTAGATTCTTCTTTATTTTTTGTTTGACCTCATTAGTAGCTTCTCTTATCACTGTATTTCCCTCCTTCTACCTTCATTTGGAATAATTTGCTATTCTCTTTTTAAATTCATGATATGATGGCTTGGATCATTGACTTGGTTCTTAATTTTCCCATTTCATAGGTTTGCTGTGTAACATTTACATTGTCCTTCAGTGTAAACATTCTCTCATTTCCATTTTGTTTTTCTCATTTCATTCCTGAATTATTGAGAAGTCCGTTGCTTTGATTTCCAAAGTATAGAGATATTACTATCTTTGATGGCAGAATCAGGTGACTCCCAGAGGGTCCCGGGAGCTCCTACTGGTCTGCGTGAGGAGTCCAGGTTGGCTGGCATTAGGTGGCGCCCAGTGTGGGCAGCTCCTGTGCCTTCCAGGGTCTCTGCGGTCGCTTCCCTGGAGTGTGGGGTCTGGGTCCTTCCTGGGCTAGCGGAGGGCCAGAGCAGCATACACACTGGGCTCTGCTGGGGGCTCCCCTGGTTGGGAGGGAGGGGATGCACTTGTCTCTCGTCGGAGGGTCAAGCGGTTCAGCTGGGCGTAGGTCACATCCGAAGGGGCGTGAGATGTCGCAGCCTGCAGCGGGGGAGAGAGGGGAGTGTGTGATTGTCTCTCTCTCTCTCTCTCTCACATCCGAAGGGGCGTGAGATGTCGCAGCCTGCAGCGGGGGAGAGAGGGGAGTGTGTGATTGAGGAGGCGGGAGCCTGGGGGCTTGGAGAAGGGACCCACCTGACAGTCTGTCTGCCTGTCTTCCTCTGCTTGTCTGTCCTCCGAGTCCAGCAGTGCCCCAGACACGGGGGAAGGAGAAGGGGCCAGTCCCCGCCTGAGTCTTGATCTTGAGTGGCTCACCTGGGCACGTGTCAATCCCTGGGGGTCTTCATCCCGTGTGTTCTGCTGCAGACAGACAGTGAGGGGGAAGTTTGTCGCCTTGATTCCAATCGACCGCCTCAGACTCTTTTCCACACTGTTGCCAGAGTGATGCTTTCAAACTTTCAGGCGGATTAGGTCACTTTCCTGGTGGACTCTCCAGCGGCTTCCTGAGCCTTGGGACATGCAATGCTTTCTATGGCTCTGATTCTATTCCTGACACTGTTTCTTGCTCATTTGGCTCCAGCCACATAGCCTATGTTCCTTCAAAACATGTTGCTGCCCCAGGACTTTTGCACCTGCTACCCCTTCTCTTGTTTTATTTTCCTTGGCCACACTTTGCACTCGAGGGTGCTGCCCACTTCCTTGCATATTCTGTCTGTCACCCACAACGTGAGCTCATAGAGGGTGGGTCAGATTTGCCCACTGTTGCGCTTGCAACACTAGGTGGGGCCTGGTAAATGGTGGGCTTCCTGTGCCCATTTACTGGGTGAATGAATGAAGGGGGCCTAAGACCTGTGGGTGATTCATTTCTTCATGCACCCTCTTGAGACCTGGGCATGCACCTCAACAACCAGAAGTCAGACAGTGGTCAGGGAGCCAGGCAAGGGGAGCACAGAGGAGGCCCCATGAGGTCACAGCAGGCTGACCCAGAGTGCCC